AAATTAATATAGCCTGCAAGTCTACTGATGCTGCTGCTGCTTCTGCTGCCGACTATGCTTCCACCTCACTCGAGGTGATTTCGAGATATTTAATAATGATGAAAGTATGTCGGGCATTTTCTATTATAACGACGACATCACTCCCTTCTTTCGCGGTTCGAGGAATTTGACGAGCTGCTAATTTTCGGCAAATGGATGCGCCGCTATTCGTGTTAGCATAATATTAAAAAATGAACTCCCGGAGGTGTTTGAATAATGAAAAAGAGGGCATTCTTTGGAACGCGCGTCGTGTAGGCTACGGTATCGAGTGAGCCGCAAGGTAAATAATATTATATAGGTGGGGCGAGTTCTGGGTTAAGGTATTATATTAAATTCGTAACTTATATTATATAATAACGGTTCTCCGTAGAATTTGGCTGATTGAAATATTCGTGTAATTTTTCAACCTTAAAGCTCTCGAATAAGATGTCTTAAATACACGGATAAAATAATAAGCTAAGCTATATTGGGTTGGGTTAGATTAAGAGTAATAGTAATTATTATAATATCACTATTATATTATAGGGACTATTTCATTGTCGGTTTTGAATACGTTTTCCAATTCCAAATATAATATTAAAGCTACTATCCATCTCACATTTATAAATTATTTTTATATGAAATCATAATGTTGAAATGTTAATATATTATTTTGTTTTACCCAAAATTAGCATTAAATGTAGACATTTTAAAGAGGGATATTAATTTTGTTCGACGATTTTAAAATGTATTCGAATTCATTTTACTGACAATAGGATGATAAAATATACAATTAATAGGTCTATTTTCAAACCACATTGTGCAAAATATTTATTTTAGCACACGGTTCTTATTTAATACATTCACTTGCTTCTTAATAAACAGATATAACAATATAACAGTAATAGGAATTCAAGTTTTAATATATATGTTATTAGTTATAAACTATACCACCGACGGAGAAAAAAAATATTTCAAGATTTTTAACTTAATTCGAAACATTTTAAATTCGGTACCTACTTATGCAAATAGTCATATCAGGTTTCCAACGATAAAAAAATTAAAATTAAATGTTACCATTACCAATTAGGTGCAAACATTAGCGATTAGCATACTAAGCTAAACAAAAACAATTTAACTTCAAACGTGATAAAAAAAATTACTCTTTTGAAATATAAAACTATATTATGAAAAAATGTAAAACATAATTATTATTTGGATGATACACTTTATCATTATGATTTCTTACGTATAATCATCGCATCAAATAATTTTTCGTAAAACAAAGGTTCCAAAATACCTGTGTAGTCTTATCTTTTATTACGTTTTTTAGTTTTTTTTTATTATGAAATTTTAATTTATTTTTTTGCTGGTTGTTAACTTTAAGTTTCAGTTTCTAAAGATTAATTTTTTAGGGCAGTACATTTTGCAAAGTTAATTTTATTAAACTGAATACTAGCAGAAAAAACACTATACAACGTGTATAAAGAATTCTATAAATGTTTATTTAATGTTAAACACAATATAACATAAAATTTCTTATATTTTTATTGTGGTAAGTACCTATTAAAATTGCTTGCGATTGATTTGAATATACAATATATAAAAAAAAACTAAAAAGCACCACAATAATTATATAGTTTTATAAACAAGTGGTTATTGATTCCGAAAAGTTTATTGAATATTTACGAAAAAAAAATGATTTTATCTAAAATCTGGCAAAATGGTAAATAATTTAAAGGAAAGCCTTTTTACAACGATTGGCTGAATCACCTAATCCAATGATTTGGAGCGTAGGCGAATTGGACAAGTTTAATTTCCCAAGTAATCTATTATGACGTAATTTATAGCACGACAGAGAATATTTTTATTAAGGTTTATTTAAAAATTTAACTCTTTTTTTTTTGCATTTATAGTACGATATAGTTGATAACAATAAATTATTATTTATTTAACAAATAAACGAGAATTAGTTTCGAATTGTCATGTTCTTATTAGTATATGATTTAACGTTCTAGTTTGGAGTTGGAATATAAATTATTTTTTTAAAACTACTCATAATTTATTAAAAGTTATTAGTGAAGCGGACTGCTGCAGTGTGGAACTTTCGGTTCTCTTTTTTTTCATCAAAACATGCGTTTGAAATTATTATTATTATTAAAAATTATACCCAATTATAAGATAAATACCTCTTTTGTTCATTCATCATAGGCACATAAATTCATAATATGAAAACCATGCAATCGACCGATTTTTTTAAGAAATAATTCTCTTTTTTTTAAATCACTGGACTAATGGCGTACTTACATATAACGGTTGGCCTCTATTATGTATATATTTATTTTTATTAAGCTCTTTAGCAGAATGAAAAAGTACCCAGCCCGGGATCAAATATAGCCATTTTCTGATTTTACTAGATTTTTCTTTCACATAAAAAGCACCTTGGCAACCTTTTTTTTTCTTTAACAATCCTCCTAGAATGTACATTCTTGTTTTATGGTATGACTTGAATGCACAATATTAATATTTATAACGTCACTGTAGTTCCCTGAAAGTTTATGTCCAATTACATTCCTGGGGTACCTTACATGTACGTCGACTCAGTGAAGTTAGTTTCTCCAATCGTATGTATAGCGATGCTGTTGAACTAACAATGCTAATTTGATTGCATCAATGAGTTAATATGGCGTAGTTAAGGTCGGTTTTCTAATTTATAACTCAATAATGATCGAACGAAATTCAAAAGCCTTTAGAAATTTAATTTCTATGCACCTCCATATATACACAAATAGGTACTACAAAAATACTACCGCGTACAATATTTCAACATGCCCGAACGCTTTGTTAAAAATGATTTTGCTTACGGTGATCGACGTTTGAATGTTTTGTAAGTTATAACCACACGAATGCAGTATGACGTTTGAAATATCGATTGAAACGAAAAAAAAAAAAATAATGCCTACCTACATAAATAATAATTTAAAGAGAGTAATTATAATACTTACAGTATTTACAGCCGTCATGTCTTTCACCTTGGAACCGGCGCCAACATATGTTGCTAAATCGTCTTCAATCTGAAATTTATTATAAATAAATATTTTAATAAATGATACAAAACTCATAAAATAAACATGTTAGTAATAACTAATAAGTACATATATGTATTAAAGAAAAGCACAGATTTTTTTCTCAAAAAGTCCTCTAAAATGTGTGTATTTCGTAATTGCGGTATGTCAGCATTATTACGACTATAATGTAACCAGAAATATTTCATAATTCATGAGTTATTACCAATAGAGGGCCTAAAATAACTTGGTGTGTGATAAAAAAAAAATGTACCATATTTTCACAAGCCAATTACACGAGTAAGGTTTACATGATAGCGACTCAAAAATCATTTACATTTCATAAACTTTCATATGTGCAGTCGATAGGTAGGTAAATGCAAATGGGATGGAAATTGAAAAGTAATGATTCCCGTCTTTTGTGTATGAATATGACGAATTTCCACCCAACCGAGTTATTGACTCACAAAATATTGTCACATCCATCGTATTAAGTTTTTCCATATATCCAATTTGTTCACTTGAAGAATAAATTTGGAAATTAATTTTGCATAATGTTCAAAATACGATTTGTTTTAGTTTTGACTAATGCGTAATTCAATATATTTTCGACCGTTTTAAGTTTACTATGCATTTAAAACGCAGTATTTGTCTAATATATATTTTAATAATTCTACGGTGAAAAATCATTTTTTTGAAACACGCCTATTGGGTATATTATTTTAATGTAAATTCAATATTATATCAACCAAATATTATGCAAATGAAAAATAATTAATCCCAATTCCCAAGTCGAATTTGACTACCGCATGCGTCTAAACATAATCATGGTGGAAATCATTATCTTTTCGACACGACAGTGGAATAAATGCAATATCTTTCACTATATAATTTAATAGAACCGCATAGGTAATGTGCGAACTAAACAGAATCGCTACAGACGATGCAAATAATATTGAATATTAAATTTGAATTTATCGCCGTTAAACTGTATAATATAATATGTGAGGTAACTCGATAATATCATTATTACCTAACACCGTCGTGTGCGACTACGCGTTCACCATAGTGTGGATAATTTATTTAAACGATTAGCCATCTATATAAAATTTCGGGCGCCTTTGTCTCAAAAACCACTACCGCCGCCACCACCACCAACCCGTGTGAGAGTGCCCACCCTTAAAGTAAACCCCGGCCGGATGTAGGACGCGTTCTATAAACTATCCTTATTAACTTATATATACCTTAAAATATATCTACACATACTCTCGCGCCGATATTCTAGGTAATTTACGTCTAACGTTTAAAACGTTATGTAATTATTATGCTGGTAAACTATATAAGAAAGTTGTACAAACAGAGAGAGGGTTAAGTAAATGTTCTGAATAAATGGGATTATGAATAATAGATAAAATGTTCTTCGGTCTTTTGAAACAGTTTACGGCTTAAATCTTTCACATCCCGGTGCCGAAAAGTTTTGAGGCACGAGGGCATTTTGTGTCTGTTTGCACATATATCATTATCATCTACCTATAATACGACGTGCGATGAAATGCAAGTGAGTCTAATGGAGTGGTATAATTATATTATTGTAATTTTGTTATAGGTTCACGCGACATGCTTTATAGTGCTGCGCAGAAGGGTTATTGTCAGTGGCTCGTTGTAGTCTTTTTATACTTATTTCATCGAGTGTTCCAATTTCCAACACATGCCCATCCCTTCCCGACGATCGCTGACAAAAGATACACTCTATAGATGTGTATGGTACGAGTACACTCGACTTGCACGACGACCTCAATTAGTACTTTTTTGCTTTCACACATTTTTTTCTCGCCTTCTCCCGCTGCCACTATTTCGCGTTGTTTCTTTACATTATCCCACCACCCTCCACTTCCAACCTTGTCATATTTTGCGTCCCTATTCACCGCCGCCGCCACCACTCGAGACCATGTTATTATTACACCAAATAGACCATCGCGAGTACAACAGGTATTGCGTGCGCTCTTCGCCGGTGTGAACAGGTGTGAACGTGCCTAAGTGCGTTTTTTCCACGGCTTCTTTGTTCTTATTTGCTGATGGTAAACAACCGCCACTACAAATCGCCTCCAACCCTCTACCCCTTCCCCCGCACATCTCCTTCGAGCTATCCTGCAGCGGCGGGTGACGGTAATGATAATTTGCCCTGTCGCCAATAACACTTAACGCGCGTGCGACGATGGCGGTGGCAGAAGTGGAAGCGCCGCTCTGCAATGTACACTTAACGACTGCTAAGTACCCTCCCGGCGATTACGACGGGTAAAATATAATTCTTAAATGGCACGTAACACTATATACTTTATATATATATATGTGTGTGTACGTACGTGATATAATATATATTTATAAAATAATGAAAATGTGTTCATCATAATATGACAATCTGGAAATCTTGGAAAACGTTCAAAGTTAATGTGTTACGCGTATTACAAGTACCTGGATATATAATAATATTATATTGGTATATTTTTATCGGAACTCATACTCTGTACATAAAACTAATATCGTCTCGACACGTCTAGTTTATGGAATCCTCAGGTTGTTCGTCTGAGAATATTGATAAAACGTCCTGAATGCAATTTTTTTTCAACCGCAATAAAATAATTAAAAATGTGTTAATACGGGTCGTTATTTAATATTGTAGGTACATTATAATGTACTACAGCGTAAGACACAAGTCTTCACTGTGCTAAAATTAAAACAATTGTTCAACGATGTGTCCAATGAATCATGTAGTGCCAGACGTTATCGTAAATCCAAACAATAATGAATAATAAAGGTGTAGTTTTTAATGTAGAGGATTTTAAGCGCTTAAGACCAATGCTTGAAGTGGGTAGGAGGGGATATAGAGGGATGGCATCCCTCTACTTTTTTTGTTATATGAAGAATAGAAGAATGTTATGATGATATCAGGAAATCTGAATTGTAAAGCATCCCTCCACTTATCTTGAGCCATTTCGACCACTGCGTATGACCAGCACATTATAATATAGGTACCTGGGTATATTAAGAGCCCAGAGTTACAGTTTGTCGTATGATAGGTGCTCAATGAATGAAAATAATTATTCCATGCAACCAAACATAAACTTTGTTTAAAACACAATATTTTTAAATCAAAATAACATAAATATTTTATACCAACGTAAATTATTATAAAATATCTAGATGTGAGTGGTACTACGCTTAACATTATATTAACCCTAATAACTAAATAAAATTAGATAATATCAGCATTTCAATATAATATCCACACATGATGATAATTGTATCGTTACCTATGTATAAACCATAGCAAGCTACTCGATATTTTTTCTCTACTAGGAAAATCTATGAATCATAAATATTATGTTTTTGTTGAAATGTAGCCATGACAACGAAAACCTTACGATATATCGGTCGGGAACAAAAAAAAACCTTGTATCCAGCCCCAAACATGTTTATGTTAAATTATTAATTGCATTAGTCCTGACATTTTGGTTAGATTTTAATTCTGTATAACAATATTGAATGTTATTTCTTAAAACGAAACCATTTTACAGTGAAACGTCGGAAATTATTGTATGGTTGTCGATTTACTGAATCCAATTTAAATATTGTCCACCATTGAAATATGTTGTTATTTAACCGTATTATATAAATTTCCCTAATATAATTTACTAGGACAATTAATGAACATGAATAATACGCGTTCTATAGTTTACAACTATCATTAAATACCTAATTTAATATCAAAACTCCACAGTTATAAGTTATTATTATTCAGTTAAATTATCACACGCAGCATGTTTTCTTGTTTGATATTTTATAAGTTACTTAATTTATTTTACTATTGAGGATAATAATATTATAGCCTGTCGTGCAGAGAAAATTGAAAATTCCAATCAAAAATCATTCTGGTTCAATTGATTATTTTCTCGTAATAATACATCAACCGCGGTGTAAGCCGACACAGAAATCGGATGGAGGGATAAAACATTTTTTAACGATAGATGTGCAGGATGTACGGAGACAAGATGATAAATTCGTCTTTGATTTTTATTTGTTTCGAAGTTATTTCATACACACCGTAATTTCACATTTATGAGCAAACTTTTTTCCACGACCCGTTACATACTCGATAACACCTCGGGCCCCGAAAACACACTATAATAATAATATAATATGATGTCCTTACACCGCGCACGGTAACTATGGTTACGTGACCTGGTATAACTCAAGAACCACCATCAGATAGTTATTTTGAGATAAGATCGGTATAATCATACATAATACAAGTTATCCGGATGAAATGCATTTTGCGGCCATTAGGTCCGGCGCAGGACTGAAACTCTAATTAATTAAAGTCTATGTGGCGGTGATCGAGTGACTGAAAAGAAAAACAAATAACGGGTCGGGTCTGATTTCAATGTGCATAATAATATTGTACTTGTGCATAATATAATATTATTATAATTTGTAACTCGACTAAACCTATATACTAATATTATTATAGATCCGATTCTATATTAATTACAAAACCTATATTCTTTCACTCGATTGTTGTGTCGTAATTTAAAAAAACCAGCTGATGTAAAAAAGTGTTTTAAATATTATTAAATTCTCTTCGACGAGAAATCGTGTCACCACGTTTTGTTTCCAGCATGGCTTCGAGGTTGTAACCGACATTTAATGACCAAAAACATACGAACGAAGGCGATACCTTAAATCAAACAAAAGAACCTACACAGCTTAAACGAAAATTAAGGAGGAAAGTTTAGAAATACATTTGAAAGAGACCGAAAACTTTGAATTGATAATTAGAAACTTTTCAAAGATACGCGATGGTAGTTTTTAATTTACGCATTTAGTAATATAAGCATGTATTAAAAAACAATGGAAATTCAAAAGTTTGACTTAATTGAATTAATCTATACAATACAGAAAATAATAGGTACAAAACCATCTGCACAACTATTGTAGTAATACAAATGATTACAAATTGGTTCGTCGACAATTGTATATCTCGCTATCGAAATTTATTGAAATAATGGATTTGAATAATATTGTGTGTGTGTGTGTGTGTGTGTGTGTAAGGCTTAATAATAGTTTAAACTAAACTGTATTATAATATACTGATGGCGACTGGTATACTGTTGATAAAAACTGTACTCCTTGTTATTGTATTTTTCATAATAAAATAATATTTGACATATTGTGTATTAAATAACTCTACTGCACGAGGTCACTTTTTTTTATTAATATTAATTATTTCAAAGCAAAACCCTGTCATCTATGGCCATTTAGTTATACTTAGGTAATGCATTTACAGTAATTTACAAATAATATACTTACATGAATAGTACTAGGTATCTACATTAAAAGTAAACGGTAGGGTGACATTAATTATAAAGCTAATATTCTAAGTAACTATAAGAGCTAATGATATGGACATCTTTTTTTACATTGAGTTGTTTTTTTTAATAAGGAACAATAATTATTATAAATATAATAGTTATATGATTTTTGAATAACATTATTGTCCGTGTTAACCTTTTTTTTTTCTTATGAATAACACTTATTACCACTGACTTATAATTTATAATATAAATTAACATTTTGTTTAACATTTACATTATGTTTTCATAATATCTAATATTTTGAATTAATAGGTTTGTTATATTATATTAATATCTTTCTCTTGAAATATCTGATTATTTTTAAAATATGCACTTTATTGAATACTCGTATAATATTCTATTAAAATACTTTGTATCCTAATTCATTATGCGAAACACTAAGTATACAATGCAAATAAATTTATCCAATTCAAACAAATGGTTTTAACTGTCTCGAGTATAATAGTAATATGATGATTGATGAATTATTATGTTAAAAACACTAAAACTACGCTCTCGTCTACGTTTTGTTAAAAATAACTTGACCATAAGTTCGTGTACCTTACACAAATGTGTCGTGCCTTGCTAATATAATTAACATATTGAATAAATTAAGAATAAAAAAATCCCGATTTTGAAAATGACTTCCTGTTGAAAATTCTACGTTGTTTTTTCTCTCAAGGTCGATTATATATTTCGGTGTGTATAGTTCGTAAACTGTCACTTTGCTGTCGTCGAGGGGAGAATTTCCAACAGGGACTCGGATTATACCGAAACCGTATATCCTGAATGACCAGACTTCGGTTTGAAGAAAAAAATAAAATATAAAAAAAGCAGCAATAGTATAGTTTTGTTTTAGAACGCAGTCGGCTTACGTCCAAAATCTACGTCTCTTACCTAGTGTAGTTGTGTCCCGTTGCAGGACAAAAATATCGAATGGTCGTTTGTTGATATGAAAATCGTAGGAGGTGCAAACTAACTTTTGTCGGAAATAGTCACAGAGTTAGGTATATAAATGTTTTTTTTGTTTGAAAAATTAAATCGTATCTGAATTATTCGCACACAAGATTCTCGAAATAATATTTTGTTGCGCATGCATCTAATAATAATATAACATTTTTATTTTCTAGAAAATTCTAAAAAATTATCCGCATGCAATCAACATACTTATGTGTAGGTGTACTCATGACCTATAGACTACACGGAAAAAACAAAATTACTATAATATTATAGTTGAACAAATTATAGTAGATATAACTATTTAATAGGTAAAATAACTAAAATGATTTACTTATTATGACTATATAAATATAGTTAGTTTTTATGGTAATGTTTACTATATTTTATAGTTGACGAAGTTTTTAATGTTTGAATTAATTAAAAAATATAGTTCGAATAGTTCGAATAACAATAATAACTTGACAATGATATTTTAGTAGATCTGACTAACCTTATAGCTATCCCTATAGCAATTGTAATGTACCTACAGTCAATCCTACTATTTTTATAGTACAAACAACTGTTTTGTTTTTTCAGTGATATAGAATGTTGAAATCGATTTAGAGTTATTGATTTTTTATTGAATATAATATAAAAGTAACTTTTTTATTGACGTTATGTATTTAAATTTAAATAATTACAACGAAATATTTTAATGACCATAAACGTTTACATTTTACAAAAAAATATAATTATCGCACCTGAAATTCCCAATATTTATCG